TATCCCCGTTCTGTTCTGAAATGTGATTTGTCCTTTTCATGTGTGTTCATTTTTTTAATTGTATCCTTTGGTATATATGGTTGTGACAATTTTCTTTCACTATTTGATCTGAGGAAGTGGGTCTGGCCCACGAAAGCTCATCATCTAATAAACCATCTTGTTAGTCTTTAAAGTGCTACATAGTCCTGTATTTTGTTTCAGCTACAGCAGACTAACACGGCTACATTTCTATCACAACCTCCCTAGGCATTTATTCCAGTGCTTAACCAACCTGATAGAAAGATTATATTAATGTTCAGTTTAAACCTCCCTTGCTGCAATTTAAACCCATTGTTTCTTGTCCGTCTTCAGAGGTTCTCCTATTTATATGTCTGATACAATTATGGAGTTCTGTATTGGGGCATATAGGAAGTGGCTATTGAAGTAGTATGGCATCAGAAGAATACAGTGTAAACAGAATTATATTCTAGCTCCCTTATTTGCATTGCATTTAGTGCCTGCAGGTCCCGCAGTAGATTGGGGCTCCACTCTACTAGGTGTAGTCTCTTACTATGGCAAAGGGCCACAAAAGTTGGGGATTAACTAAAGGGGGACCACAGGTTATGTCTATGGTGCAGCTGTTGCTGGCTTCCCAGCTCAAATAGACAGATGTGCACCTTCTGCTCAAGCTAGTGTGCTAAAAATAGCAATGTGGCCGGGTAGGGTTAGCCAGTTGAGTAGAAACCTGCCCAGCCCCCCCCGGATACATACTGGGGTGTGAACCCGAGCTGCCAGCCATGCTGGGGTGGCCACCACTTGCTATTTTTAACACGCCAGCTCAAGCTGAGTTGGTGTAACTGATGTCTTTCTGCTCGAGTGAGGAAGTACGCTCTGTGAGCTGGGCAATTCCCAGAGCTGGGGGAGGGGTCCCAAATCCCAGCCATGAACCTCGGTACAAATAGCAACAACCTTCTCTCCTAGGAGGCTGGCAGTCAACCCAGCATAAGCATCATCTTAAAAACAGAACAACACTTATTTCTAATCCAGGCAAAGCCAGGAGCAGACCCAGGTCAGGACTTACACAGTGTCCATCCCCATCTCTCTGTCCTGCACCTCTCCCATTGGGCCAATCAAACCTGTCCATACACTCTGAGTCTGACATGCCTGGACTGGTGAGCAGTCTCAGCTGTCCAGATAGGCTGTCTGTCAGAGTCCCTTTTGGCACACAACACAGGAGATGCGAGGAGTGAGGGCACATCTATACTTACCGCACCTGAGATCGATCTTTTGGTGTTCGATTTAGCAGGTCTAGTTAAGACCTGCTAAATCAAATGTTGAGGAGAGCTCCGGTCAGCGCTGGTACTCCTCTCAATCACAAGGAGTAGAGGAAATCGATGGGAAGGTTTGCTCCCGTCGGCTTCCCACTGTGAAGACGGTGCCAAGCTTGGCTTAAGGTAAGCCAAATCCAACTACATATTTTACATGCATCTGACAAAGTAGATCTTTGCCCACGAAAGCTTATGCTCCAACACTTCAGTTAGTCTATAAGGTGCCACAGGACTCCTCGCCGCTTTTTCAGATTCAGACTAACACGGCTACCCCTCTGATACATATTTTACGTAGCTGGAGTTGCATACCTTAACCCGACCAAGTTTCTCCTGTCAACCTCCTGCAGTGGGGGTGCCGCAGAAATTCGACCTAAGATGTGTCGACTCCAGCTATGCTATTCTTATAGCTGGAGTTGTATATCTTAGGGTAACTTTCTGACTCTTATTCCCCATCTCACCCACCTTTGCTGACTGCCTCAAATGCTCCTAGCTGGTCCATAGTTGTATCCTTTTCCTGCCTGTTCCCAAACAAGCTAAAGCAGGAAGCTTATTCCTACCAAGTGGCTCCAGCCCCACTGGGCAGAGTTCTCTTTCACAGACAGCGAGTACACTAGCAGTGCCCAAATACAATCAGAGATCTAGGGGAGTTATTTGTTGCTATATTTCACCAGCCTGCACAGACATTGGCAGTTGGAGCAGCACATGCAAAATCAGGTGCCCAAGAAGTTTTATTGCGCTGGGGTTAGTTACTATCTTTGGGAAATTGGGCCCTGAGTGTTTGCGGGTCGAACCTTGGTAGAGTCAGTGGATTTCATTCTGCTGTGGGTGAATCTGGGTACATGAAGACAAAGTCACTACTTAGGCGCTATAAAAATGCCCCAACTTTAGCTGAAGGGTTTCAGAGTTGCCAGTGGGAACTCCCTCCCCTCTCCTTCCCCCCCCCCTTGGAGGAGGATCTATGAAGTTAGGGCTGGTTCTGTTAGAGCTGCTGAAACTGCCCAGCATGGGGAAGGTCCCATCAGCCTGAGGAGAGGCTGGAATGTTGGTGGGATCGTTACTGCTCATGCTGCAGGCAGCTTTGGGATAGCAGAGCTCTGTGTTGGTGCTCCTGTGATGTAGCGTACAGAAGTAGAGCAGTAGTGTCTCGTTGCCAGCTTTGTCCACATATTTACTCTGGTGACACCATCATTGGACCGAACCATTTCAGTTATAAGATCAAGAACACATATTCCTGCTCATCCAGAAATATAATTTATGCCATCATGTGCCAACAGTGTCCTGCTGCTATGTATATTGGACAAACTTCTCAGACACTTCTCCAAAGAATCAATGCACACAAAACAGACATCAGACAGTTCCACAAAGGAAAAACAGTTTCTTGCCATTTCAACCAGCCTGGGCATTGTCTCAACAACCTTACTACCTGCATCCTGCTTCAAAGAGGCTTTAACACAAGACTTCAAAGAGAAGCCTCTGAACAGTCATTCATGCTTAAAATTTGACACTTTACAAATGGGCCTTAACAAAGATGCTAATTATCTCACCCATTACAAAGATAGCTTCCCCAATTATCACCTCTAATATCATTACCTCATAGACATTAACCTCCTTCCCTCATCCCCCCCCTCTGTTCTAAAATCTGATTTGTCTATTTTATATGTGTTCACTTTTTTTTTATTGTATCCCTTTGGTATATATGGTTATGCCAATTTTCTTCCACAATTTGATCGGAGGAAGTGGGTCTGGCCCACGAAAGCTCATCACCTAATAAACCATCCTGTTAGTCTTTAAAGTGCTGCATAGTCCTGCCTTTTGTTTCAGCAAGACCAGACTAACAGGGCTGCATCTCTATTACTATTTAAATAGCTTGTGGCCCTCGTGGTCTTCTGTTTCAGAAGCCAGTGTACATGTGAAGTGAGGCCTCATTAGCAGACAGTTATTTGGATCCAGCTTGGCCCAGTGTGGTTACTCTGTACACTGCGTAAGGAGCAAAAAGACAACCCCTGAGCTGCCTAGCATGAAGCAAAACATCTTCTTTGGCTCAGGTTGCTTGGCACAGGTTCTGCCTCCTGTTTTACAGGAAACCTGCACCAGGGTGTCTTCAGAGATGCATAATTTGTGACTTCATTCCTTCCCGCCTCTCCCTTTTCTACCCTACTGTTTGAGTAAGCGGTAGAAGGACCTTTGGGGGCTGAGCAGTAGGGGAGTTCAGTTTGGAGGGAGGGCTTGCCACAAGGGAAGAGAAGATAGATGAGAACCACCCCAACACACTGTACATTACTGCGTCATTGATAAGATAGCTGAAAAATACAGTAACCCAATCCAAAGAATTGGAAAGAATTTTCCTCTCTCCTATTTTTCTCTCCTTTTAAAACCTCTCCTGTGTTCCCAGGTTATTTTGAGGATGATGAGAAGGAAGAACACACCCTAGTCGATAACAAGTGCAAGTGTGTGAAGGTGACCTCGAGCTTTGTCGCTTCTAAAGATAATCCTGAGGAAAAAGTCCTGGAGAGAAACATACGAGTCATGTAAGTGGCAAACAATGCTTGATTTTAAGCAGGTATAGATGAGGTGACATGGTAGGTTTCTTTTCTTTGTCTCACTTCATCCTATTAGCTATGGGACATGAATGGGATTCATTATATCCTGGCTTTCATGTTACAGTGAAAGTAATTGGGATTTCATTGACACCTACCTTGTGTACTAATTACCTGTAACATATAGTGCTGTAGACTAGCGAAAAGCCCATGTCATGCTAAATTTTGCTGCTTTGCAGCTGCACAGTGCTTCTTCCAACAGCCCTAAAAGCAGGTCAGAAGTGTTTCTGACAGTAGTGTTCCCTGTAAGCTGTGCACTTGTGTGGCCACTCAGGAGAAATGCCATTGCCGCACAGCTGATTAGCAGAGCTCTCTCAGCCAGATTTGTGTTTCTCCTGGTGGTGCACATTCACACATGCCTCAGTGCACATAACAAAATGTATTCTGCACATTGATGGAAAAAATTATAGATGGAAGAGTTGAGAGGGAACATTGATTGACAGTAGCATCGTAAGATACAGGGAAGGAGAGAAGAGCAGCTGTTTTCCTGTCCTGATAACTAGGGACACTGGTTGGCACAGAACATAAGACTGCCACTCTAGAGTAGACCCATGGCCAAGCAAGTCTGAGATTTTGCCCCAGAAGAGGCCAGTGCCTGATTTTTTCAGGGAATGACAAGCCCCCATGATGCAATAGCTAATTAATTGTCAGTGCCAGGAGTGAATTCTGCACCCTTTACTCCCACTGGCTACGTCTACACTGGCATGATTTTCCGAAAATGCTTTTAATGGAAAAGAGCGTCTAGATTGGCAGGACGCTTTTCTGCAAAAGCACTTTTTGTGGAAAAGCGTCCGTGGCCAATCTAGACACGCTTTTCCTCAAAAAAGCCCCGATCGCCATTTTCGCGATCGGGGCTTTTTTGCAGAAAACAAATCTGAGCTGTCTACATTGGCCCTTTTGTGCAAAAGTTTTTCAGAAAAAGACTTTTGCCCGAATGGGAGCAGCATAGTATTTCCACAAAAGCACTGACAATCTTACATGAGATCGTCAGTGCTTTTGCAGAAATTCAAGCGGCCAGTGTAGACAGCTGGCAAGGTTTTCCACAAAAGCAGATGATTTTGTGGAAAAACTTGCCAGTCTAGACACAGCCACTGAGTTTTGCTGAGGTAAAGAGGGCAGCATCGGAGTGAGGGATGTCCAGGGAGAACTCACTTCACTAGAAAGTGAGCTTGTCTCATACGTGTTGTGTCCTGGTTGCCACCAGCTCAAGAGAGGGCAGGAGGAACATCAGTGCTGTGATGTCATTACTGAAAGCATCCCTGTGGCAAGCAGCTCCCTCACTCACTAGTGGCCCAACACAGTGCAGAGCTTTGACACCCTCCAGTCTGTCAGGGGTGGTGCCTGGAAAGGATGTACAATAGGCCCTGTTGCTCCTGAGGGTATGTGAAGTCTCAGTGCAGGTATAACACACAGGCTGTTCTACAGATCAAGCATCTGAAACGTCCTGGGGAGTGAGTGGAAGGGAAAGTGATGAAAATATCTGAACAAAGAGCAAGATGAGAACTTGTTCAACTTGGATTTTGTCTGTCAGAATACTCACCCCAGAGTGTGGGGTTTGCAGAATTCATTAGAGCAATTTGTGGTCACTTGATAGTCCTGTGCTTTCTGTGATTTTTTTTTCTTCCCTTAGAATCCCACTGAAGGCAAGACAGAACATCTCTGATCCCACCTCGCCACTGAGAACCACCTTTGTCTACCGCATGACTGAGCTGTGAGGAATCTTTTTTCTTGCATTAATGTCAAAACACTTTCCCCTTCTGTCCCACTGTCCATTTTTGGGTTGCCAGGTGTCCGGTTTTCGCCCGGACAGTCCGGTAATTGCACCTTCTGTCCAGTAAAAAAAAAAAAAAGAAAGAAAATACCGGACATGCAAAATGTCCGTTATTTTCTGTTTTTCCTCGGACGGAAGGCGTCTGGCAGGGGAGGGGGCGGAGTGTCCCTGGGATCACTTAAAAGACTTCCCCTGGCCTCTCCTGCTGCACAGCCAGATACTTCTGGTTCCTCTCCTGCACATGGGAGAGGCCGTGCAGGAGATCTGGCAGGTGGGAGACACTCCTCCTCCCCAGGCTCAGGTGGCTGCCAGCAAAACCTTTTGCCATGAGCAGGATGAGAGGAGAGGGGAGGGAGGGGATCCATTCCCAGAGTGGGAGGGAAGGGAAGGGAAGCCCCTGCGTCCCTTCTCTGCATGGGGCACCTGTTGGAACTAAGGGGAAGCCAAAGCAGAGCCAGCTTCTCCCCTTCCCCCTGCACCCCCCCTTCTCTACAATAGACTGGCTGCAGCAAGGAGCAGTGTCTTGTAGCCCTAGCTAGCCCTACACTGGCTGCAATGCCTCCTTAACTGTTAAGGAGGTATGTGGAACCTGAGGGAAAGGCTGGTGGGGGGAGTGGGTGAAGGTGGGGAGGAGGAATCCCTTGCAAGAGGGGGAGGGAAGGAAGCCCCCCCCCCACCTCTTCCCTGCATGAGGTATGGGTTGCCAGGTGTGTGGTTTTTACCTGGACAGTCTGGTAATTGTGTCTTCTGTCCGATTAAAACAAAAAAAAAACCCAGAAAATACCGGTATTTTCAGTTTCTTGGATGGAAGGCCGGCAGGGATATTTTCCCCCTGCTGTGTCTGGTGGTCCCCCCACCCCCCCAACCAATTTTTTTCCCGCCATATTTGGTATTTTTTGTGAAACTATCTGGCAACCTTACTGCCCAAAGCACCACAACCATGAATGAATGAATGAATCCTCACCACATCTCTGCGACAGGAATTGAGGCAGAGGTTAAGTGGCGTGTCCCAAGAGTTCTGCCACAGAATTTGGGAATAGAACCCTCATCTCAACTCCCCTGGCTTAACCACAAGACGGTCCTTCCAATGGAGAGGAAATTCAGAATGCACCATGGTGAATTTTGATATAGAAGCTAAACAAATCTTTTCATAGAAGGACATTTTTTAAAATTGCACCTTGGTGTACATCAGTGTTTCTTAAACTATGTTCTGTGGCACATCGGTGTGCCGTGGAGAACAGAATTCAAAATGGCCACCCTTAAAAGGGCAGGTGACCTTTTTAATTTTTTTTTGTTTTGCTCCTTGGTGTTCCTCATTAGATAGATAGATAGATAGATAGATAGATAGATAGATAGATAGATAGATAGATAGATAGATAGATAGATAGATAGATAGATAGATAGATAGATAGATAGATAGATAGATAGATAGATAGATAGATAGATAGATAGATAGATAGATAGATAGATAGATAGATAGATAGATAGATAGATAGATAGATAGATAGATAGATAGATAGATAGATAGATAGATAGATAGATAGATAGATAGATAGATAGATAGATAGATAGATAGATAGATAGATAGATAGATAGATAGATAGATAGATAGATAGATAGATAGATAGATAGATAGATAGATAGATAGATAGATAGATAGATAGATAGATAGATAGATAGATAGATAGATAGATAGATAGATAGATAGATAGATAGATAGATAGATAGATAGATAGATAGATAGATAGATAGATAGATAGATAGATAGATAGATAGATAGATAGATAGATAGATAGATAGATAGATAGATAGATAGATAGATAGATAGATAGATATTGTTTGGCATTCCTCGGTCTAAAAAAGTTTAAGAAACACCGATGTCCACAGACCAAATCCAATTCCCATGAGAGAGCATGGGGCAAAAGCAAGATCTTGACTTCTATCATAGGCAGGGGTGAAGCGGGCAGGAATCTCATCTTGACGAAGATGCTCATGTTCATGCTGTATCCAGTGTGAATGGGATTCGGCCCTAATTAAATTTAAGATCTGGGGCCAGATTCTCTGCTGGTGTATCTCATGATTTTATTCTGAGTCTTGCTGCATTTGACATTTAAAGTAAAGTCCCAGCTCTTGAAGTCATGGGATCACAGTACAATTCCAATTTTCATGAAAGATGAAAGTGAGTTTCTAGGCCTCATGGTTGCAGAGAAAAGTTTGAAAATATGACCAAAGGGCACACTGAAGGCTCAAAAACATAACAAGAACTTCCACCACCCCATCCCTGCCTATCATTAACTAAGCTCATCATTTTGGGGCTCTGACTCACCAATTTTGAAGGTTTGGGGGCTGGCCATAAGCTCCTAAATCAGGATTAGGCTGTTCCAGAGCCTAAGCCGAGCTGACATGTGACTACCAAAGTAGCAGTGAGGACTCAAACCTTCTCCTGTGTGGTGGCCTCTTTCCATGACTGCTGCCTAACAGGAATTCCATCTTATTTGTCTTCCAGCTGCAAAAAATGTGATCCTGTAGAAGTGGAGCTGAATGACCGGGTAGTTACTGCTGAGCAGAGCAACACATGCAAGAGTTCCGATACCTGCTACACCTACGACCGGAACAAATGCTACACCACAACCCTCCCGTTTTCCTACGGTGGGAAGACCACCGCCATCCAAGCGGCCCTGACTCCAGAATCCTGCTACCCTGACTAGATTAAACCACTGCTGCTAGAGTGCCTTGTTATACTGTAATCTCCCCGCCTCCCCGAACAAAGCACAGTTATATTAGGATGGTAAGAAAAACAGTGTCTGAAATACCAGCTCCTCACAATTAACATGAAAAGTGATGCCTTTCTCCTATAGCACAGGGTGGACATAAATATGAACCATTACGCCAATTATCCATTGTGGACAAAATCCCCATACTAGGGGGCAGATCCTCAGATGGTATGAGTCAGTGTAACTGCCTTGAACTGATGGAGCTACACTAACTTACACCATTGGGGCATCTGGCTCGAACAGTCTTCTTTTAGTCCCGATTCAGACAAGGCTCTTGTTAAAGTCAGTGAGGGCTGGGCCATAGTAACAAAGGCAGGCTTAGTTCTTTACTGTGGATAGAAACAATGAAACCCAAAGGCCTGGCAAGTGTTTGCCTTCCGATTCCCACAACCATGTTTTCCTAAGTCATTTCTCCAGTGTCTTGGGCTTTTTGGTGCCTACTACAGTCCCTTTCGGCACAGAGAGATACCGCGGCTGCACATAAAATATCAGTGTGTAATCTGAGATGGCCCCGTCTGTGTGTTCTGCTGGAAAACCCCACTTCAGTTATTGAAAATAATCCTTCGCACCAACTTTAAGAACCGCACGACCATGTTGTTGCACTTTCACCTGCAAGCCTCATAGAAACCAGTGCCATTCTTGAGAAAGAGAACATTCAGGGTGAGGCTTTCAAAGACATCAAGGGGATTTGGAAGACCAGTCCCCATTCAGTTTTAATGGGCATCAGTGGTGTAGCAAGGGTCTTAGGCACCTGGGAGCAAAGGCAAAATTTGCACCCCCCAATCATTTGCCCACCAAACTCCAGAGCAGCTGGGCAATTATTATGTAGCCCTGGGGAGTTGGGAACAGCAAAGAGCTGGCCATCTGAGTCTTCCCCATCCCGTCCCATTCCCCTTCCCCCCCAGCACCAGCAGCAGCTCACCTTCCATCAGCATGCTGCTGCATGGCTCTGCAAAGGAGGTGAGTGGGTGGAGAAAAGTTAACAACCCCGCAACATTTGGCAGATAAATTGGTGCCCCCCCTTGCATGGCGCCCGGGGGCAACTGCCCCCCTCGCGACGCCACAGATGGGCATCCTATTCCCTTATGTGGCTTTGAAAAAAATCACATCCTCAGTGTATCCCCACATATTTAGAGAAGACTGAGGATGCTGCTGCTTTTGAGTATTTTTAAATGGTGCCAAAATGCCGTGTGTTACGGGACTAGTCAATCATTCTTCCACTCTATATTGGAGATTGAGCTACCTACCAATGATATTTCACTGCTCTGTGTTTCCATACTGACAATTATTAATGCCTTCTGCAATTGACCCAACACCGCGGAGAACAAATTCTTTTGGTTTAAATAAATGGTCTAGGTCCCGATTCTGCATTCGGAATCGCATTGGCAGCCTTTGGGCCTGCTCGATCTGATTGCAAGAATGGGGCCCTACTTAGGACTCTCTTCTGGTCTTCTACACCAGATTCCTTTCTCTGGCCCGTAGAAGGGATTCTCCCCCATGAAAGAGGCTGATACAGCATTGCTCTGTACATAACATTGAATGTGCATCAGACCTTGTCTTGTCATGTGTATACAAGTCCATAAACTGCGTGCGGCATTACTCCTGGAAAGGCTGATCCATTCCTCCCTGTTCTAAAAACTGGTTGCACATCCCTAGGCTATTCTGAGAAACCCTGACATATTTCATGTTGTGCCCAAATAGAGCAAAAGCCATGTACCCATGATTTCAGCTTTGTTAGCAAGATTGAATAAATGAAATAGATTTTCCTGCAGCTATCTGTGTGTGAAATTTAAATGGCATTAAAAGGAAGAGTCTGTCTTCTGGTCTTCCTCTAATCTTCAAGAGAAAGAACAATTTGCACTAAATAACTGATGTTAGTCACAGGCAAACCCACTGTGAAGTACTGATTAAATGCTTAGACTTTCATCAAGGAATGTCTGGGATACAATGATGATCAATCACCAT